TTTATGTTTTTAGGAGTTTATGTTTTTAGGAGGGATGCCAATGAGTGGGTATCAACCGGGTCCTATGTTTTCTCAAGGTCGGAGTTTTGGAATGTCATTGACACCTATTGAACCTCCTTTAATGCCCTCTACTACATCTAGCACCCAACCACCTTTACCCATCCAAAAGTTCATCCTTATGGCTCCTCCTTATAGTGCTTCAAGTAACCCACATCTTCCTTTAAAACCTTTAGTCCAAAAGAAAGACCATATGATTGTTGTTGAAAATAAAGGAAAGGAGTCCATGCAAAGGGGATACTCCAGTGATGGGGTAGGAACTTCTAGGACAACACCTCAAACTGAAAATCATTCAATAGCTTCTTCTTCACTATCGGATCCATGGTTTGTGCCATCAGTCAACACCGATACAGAAGATAGGATCCCATTAAGGAGCTTTTCGAGGCTAGAAGGCGGCCAAAAGCAACGCCAAGGAAGAGGATGCAAAAGTAGAAGACGATCAGGCTAACTCCATATGAACCTAAGACTCGAGCAGCTAAGGCTCATACTGCTACGACTAGAGGGCCATCTTCTGTACCACTACCGACTCCTGAGATAGTTAGTATCCATACCGATGCTAGTGAGGAGCTCGATACTAAATGGTTGCCATCCAATCTTAGGAAGCGTCGTGGGTGGAACAACTCGCTGAAATTATTGGTTGAGATAGGCCTAGATTTAGATCTTCTAGTTATCTCAGACATGTGGCGAGAGGTGGCTCAAGAAAAGGAATGGTTACGTTTGCTAGAACGAGTGAGCTGTCTAACAGTTAATGTGGTGAGGGAATTTTATTCAGCCGTTCACCCTCACTTAGATGTGGTGACGGTGCGAAGGAAAGAGGTTTGCTTTGATGCTGCGCAGATTAACCACTTGTATGAGCTTCCTTACTACCAGAACACTCTTGAAAATCAGATTTAATTCGATCCATCTGACGAGCATCTTAGAAAGGCAGTGGATACAGTAAGGATGTCATTTTCCACGTGGGATATTTCAACAATGGGGTCCCATAAGCTTGCATCTGAGGATATTTCTGTTGCTGCTGCCAATTTGGTTGTATGTCGTGAAAAATAGGATCATGCCAACTGAGCATGACCAGCACATTATTCGGGATCGAGTTTTATTAGTATATGTTATGAGAAAGGGATTCCCAATAAACTTTGAGTGACTAATACGGGGAGTAATCCATGAATATGCATCTCGAAAAAATGGTAAACTCTTTTTCTCTGGTTTAATCACCTCACTATATCTTTGTCAAGGTGTCAGGATTCCGTAAAGCCAAATTGAGAGAAAGTTTCTGATGATAGAAGAGCGAAACTTGAAGCGACTTTTGGGACATGCGTTTGCTCGAGAGGCAGTTCGAGGCGGCTCACCGAATTCTGAGATTAGAGCCCTGAAAGACATTGTTCGTCGGTTTGAGCAAAAATTGGAGGCCACAAGACAAAAGTTAGAAGCAGTAATATAGGTTACTAGAAAGATGCATGAACAGTTAAAGGATGTCATTAGCATTGGGGCGTGGCCGTTTGATCCATGAGGCTGATTCTTCATTCGAGGGAAGTTTCATTCTTTTTCTAATACTTGTTATATTTTTTTTTTGGAATTTGGTTGCATGTTTAGGTTTTGGTAGGATAGTATTGTGAACTTTTCTGGTTGTTTCTGAGTTTAAATGGGGAAATATGATCATCTAGTTTCTTCTTGTTTCGATCATGTTCTCATTCTTAGCCTTAGTGAAGTATAGTTTTTAAACAAAGGATGCTGCAAACCTTAATCTCATTTAGCATTTTAAAGTGTCTTTTCTTATTTTTCATGTCGATGATGATTCTTAAGGATTAAATAAACTTTGTTTTCTTTTTGTCCAAGAAAACCATGAGCGATTTGTGACCAAGCTCTTTTCAATAAAATGTTTTCTTTGCTTTCTTCTTTTAAAACTTAAACTTTTTCAACGTTTCATGAAGTCCTTGTCCTCTTTTACCTTGATTTTTGCATTACGTTTTCAAAAATCTTTTCCCAATGAGGACACTGTCTCTCTTTAAGTTTGGGGGAACAATATTTTGCTTTTAAAAAGAAAATTCTAGTTTCCATTATTGAAAGAACATGCTATTATGTTTGCGAAAAAAATGCATTAGAAAGAAAATGCATATAGAAAGAGTCTTTGCAAGAGAAAAAAAAAGTTGAAAAAAGAGTCGAAAAAGAAAGAAAAAAAATTGCAAATAAAAGAGTCCTCGTTCCTTGTGAGAAAAATAGAGTGGGAAAAGATTTAAATTGTGAGAGAAAAAGAAGAGAGGTAAGAAAAAAGAGTGGCAAGAAAATGTCTTTATTTTTATCACTATAAACACTCGTTGTAGCTTAGGTTGAGTAGCATAATCAGCTTCAAGGGTAACAATTGAGTTTAGTGTAACATCGTGCAACCCACCGTAGATATGTTATTATGACCGGTTGTTACTTGAAAGGCCTCTACAAAGCTCTTTGTAGATGAGCTTAAGAGTTCCTAGATGGACTTAGGATATCTTCCGTAGATGAGCTTAGGAGCTCTTCCATATATGAGCTGCTTAAGAGCTTTTCCTAGATGAACTTAAGAGCTTGGCCGTAGATGAGCTGATGAGGTCGAACGAAGATGATCTTGCCACGTGGTAGGTCATATTTTTACCTTCAACAATCCACAAGGCAATTGTAACAAATTGAGGACAAACAATCTCTAAAAGAATTCGTGATGGCACTGGCAGATCCATAATTTTTGTCGAGGGAGATTCATACTAATTTGTAAATAAAAAATCATTCGTAAATATGCTCTACAAACTTGATCTTGAATATTATAATTGTAATTGATAATTCCAGTTYTTAGACTAGATTTAGAGGGCAGTTTTTCTAAATTTACTTAGATAATTTTTTTTAAAGATGGTGATTTCATCAATTTTCTTTTATGTAYCTCTATTTAGATTTCAAATTAAATATACAAGAATATAAATAAAAATAAAATAAAAAGTTAAACACATACAACATGAAAGGATTATAATTTTTTTTGGGAAAAATACACTTTTGGTCCTTAGGTTTGAACAAGGTGTCTATTTGATCCTTGGGTTTCAAAATGGATATTTTTAGTCTCTGAAGTTTAAAAAATGATTCAAAATGGTCATTTAAGTTAATTTGATGATTAGTCCTAATGGAAAAATGATSTGGCAATATGAGGTGAAAATTGTAAATTTTTATTAAGTTTATATTTGTTTTTAGATCACGTGTATTTTTTTTTTAAATTAAGTTATTTTCCTTTCCCCTTTCTCTTGGAGGCTATCTAGATTCCTGAGGTCTCTCTCCTCCCTCCCTTCTCCTTCCTCTTCTTAATTTTATATCTTAGAGAAATCATTATTGCTCATGTCGACCGAAGCAAAAGATTTCGCTTGCGAAATCTCCAACGGTAATCGTCCAGATAACCGATTGTTTCCGACATATGATTCCAAGAGAGCCACTGCCTTCGCTATATCGGAAGTAATCGAACCTTCCAATTGATTCGATGCGAGATCGATTATATCCACGTTCGGAAATCCCCAAATCCCGGACAAAACGACGCCAGTGAGCAAATTCTGGCTTACCCTGAATCTGGTTAAAGTGCGGCAATTAGCGTAGGTCGCCGGAATCTCACCGGAGAAATTGTTCTGAAGAATGAGGAGCTTCTGCATGGTCCCCTGTTTGCACAGGGAGGAATTGCGCCTGTCAATTGATTTTCGGATACATCGATATAATTAAACGCCGTCCAAGAACCAAGCGATTACGGAAGAGGACCCGTAAGGCTGTCTTATAGAGGGACAGATTCGTCAGCGATTTGAATTCACCGAACTCCACCGGGACCTGCCCGGAAATCTCGTTGTCAAAAAGTTGCAGAGAAACCAGGCCGTTTAAAAACCATCACGCATTCTCGATTGGAGATGGGGTCAATATTAGTTACTGTTGTTGATAATTTTTCCAATGGTGAATGGCAGATTAGTTGTGGTTGGTAGAGGTTGGAGAAGGGCAAGCAACACCTAGCCGGAGAAGATGAAGAAGAATAGGAAGAGGAAAACGTAACAAAATTTTTTAAAAAGCTACGTAATCTAAAAATGAATATAAAATTAATAAAAGTACACAACTCATTTAAAATTGGTGACAKGCACATCATTTTTCCCTTAGTCAAATTAACTTACGGATCATTTTGAACCATTTTCTAAACTTTAGGGACTAAAAATGTCCATTTTAAAACCCAAAGGACCAAATAGATACCTTGCTCAAACCTTACGGATCAAAAATGTATTTTTYCCTAATTCTTTTATATAAAAGAAGTTGAAATATGACAATTTTATATTCTAGTCTAACTTTTAAAAGCGGTTGAAACATGATTATACARAATAACAACAATTGAATATGAAAATGATGATTTTAAAAGGGAAAAATATATATCAATACAATTATTTTATTTTAATAAATACATATATGATGTATAAATTGAAAACAAGAATGAGTCATGGAATTAGGTGCAAATATTAGATCCAACTTATATATTCTTTTCTTTTTTATTTTTTTCGAAAAAGTCTAATCGTAAACAAAAATTGATATATTTGTATAGAAAATTTACCCTAAATTTTTTTTAAAAAGTGACCTAATCTATGATTTATTTTCATTTTTTAGAAGTAGAATTGACCACAGAAAAGAAAAGAAAATCACGAATTATGAAAATGAAAAAAGAAAAATAAAATAGCGAAATACATTTGCACAAAAGATAAGAAATAAAAAAAAGCGCCCAGCGGGGTTCGAACGGAGGCGCGCGGCCATGCGAATTACATTTCAAAAAAAACAAAAAAAAAAGAAACAAAAAACAAAAACGTCCAAACAAGGAATCGAACTCTGCCTGATGGAGTAATTGTTATATGATTTCTTTTTTTTTTCCCTTAAAAAAAGAAAGAAAAAGAAAAAAAAGGACCATTCATCGCCCGGTACTGTGTTTGCTGTCAGCACCAGCGGGCAGCGGGCAGCGTCTTCCTCAAGCTCCAGGCCATTAGAAACGTCATTTGGCTCTGCTACTTACTACTCAAACTACTTGGAAAATCCAAAAAAATGGCGGTCATTAGAACCACCACAAACATCATCCTCCGAGAAATCCTTCACTCCCATCCCTGGTTTCCTCCATCACCATCCCCAATCTTCCCTTCAACATTGCACAATCCCAACAATGGCGCYTTGCGATTCCGGCTTCGTGAAATCAGTTTCGGCCGCGTCCTATGCGCCTCTTCGGACTCAGGAGCCGGCAAGGTGTCTGCCCGGCTCTCGCAGGTTCAGCAGCTCCTGCAAGAAGCGGAGGAGCGAGCTCTTTCGGCTGACCGCGAACCCGCCCCTAAAATCACTCTCGGTACCTTCTAACCATTAACAGTTATGGCTTTTTGAGTTGCGTGATTGTAGAATTGAAATTCGAGTGGACTGGCTTCGTTTTAGTTCTAGTTCTGCTTTTGTAATATGGAAGTATATAGAAGAGAGAGCTTGATGGTTTACTGTTTTTGTGTTGATGAATTAATTATTTCTTTACGTGGTAGCATAATTCGAATTCCCTGGGCCAATTAAGATTAGAGATGAACTACTGTGATCTGATTTTAACTGAAGTTGAAATCAGAGATTCAGAAATGAAGAGGGTCCTCCTGTCTATGTCCAAATAGTCTATTTCTCTAACCCCAAAGTTATGTGGTTTATTTGTCATGAGAGGGTTCGTAGGAGATCTTTGAAGAAATGGCCACCTCTCCCAAGACACGTTGGTAAGCCTTTGTTTCTATTTCTAGATGGTGAACTCATTCTAGGAGCTTTTGTAATCTCACCTCTTTTGACATTCAAGCCAATCTAATAGGTTTAGGGTAGCTAGGTAGATTGACTCTTCCTCCCCATTTTTGTAATCCTTCTTTCTCATTAACATATCATTTACTTCTTAAGAATAGTGTGGTATTAGAGCAAAGTCTTACAACATGCCAAAAGGAAAGAGAGGATGGAGGATGGAGAGTATGATGAAAGACATGGATTCTTGATTGGAAGAAATAGAACACGAGTTTGAAGCAGTGGGGAGGATATAAAAAAAGCTTTCAATGTTTTTTTTTTGTGAAAGAAACAATTTCATTGATGTATGAAATTACAAAAGCCTCACACTGAGGGATTACATGAAGCACTTCCAATTTGCTAAGAGGGAAGTGTAGCTATAGTAGTGAAACATAGGGGAGGATTTACACCAAGTTATGACTGTAAACACTATAGCTTCAAAAAAAGTATCAAAGGGGAGAGTTTTATCAGTAAAGATATGTTGGTTTCGTTCTCTCCAAAGGTTCCAAAAGAAAGCTCGCATGAAGTTTTGCCAAAGAATTGCCTTTTCCTTTTTGAAGGGGTGGCCTGTAAGAGTAACTTCGAGAAGGAGGGGGGGATCGGTCGGTAGTGCAGTGGTCCACCCAAAAGTGCTAAGGATGCAGTTCCAAAAATTTGTTGCAAGTGACAATTGGTAAAGARGTGTTGTTAGGTCTCATGGTTTGAATGACACATCACACACCACTGGGGAGAGAGAGCCATGTAGGGCATTCTCCTTTGAAGCTTATCACCGTCGTTGATTGCACGATGTCTAAGCTCCCAAAGGAAAATTTTCACTTTTTTTGGGTATGAGTCTCTCCAAATGCCCTCGTACAATCGCTGTGGGATATTCGTGCAAGGCTGTGAGAGATCTTTAACAAGAGAGTAGGTAGAGTATATGCTTTTTGTTTCTAATTTCTATGTTAGAGAATCTGCCTCTGTAGAAAAGCTAACAGTGGAGAGCTTGTGTGAGAGGGCTGCCTATTCTATAATTTCAGCATCCTTTAAATTCCTCCTCATCCGTAAATTCCAGCTATTGTTTTCTGTAGACCAGAGTTCACGAACATCAGCCTCTTTTTTCAAAGATAAGGCAAAAAGAAGAGGATAGTGATGTTCCAGCGGTTCATTGATCAACCATGAGACAGTCCAGAAGGTGTAGCGTTCCCGTCACCAATTTTGTAGATCAGTCTATCGAAAATCTCAGATTTTTGGTGGCTGATTTTGAACTCGGATGCCTCTTCAAATAATCGGCTGATGTTGAACATGTTGGTGAGGGAGGAGTCCTCAAAAGTGGAGAAGAGGATGGTGTCGCCTGCAAATTGGAGATGATGAATGTTCAGAGAATTTCCTCCAAGGTCAAATACCTTAATGAGGTTGCTGCTAGCTGTCTGTGACATAAGGCGACTAAAACCATCAGCWATCAAAATGAAGAGAAAGGGAGATAAAGGGTCACCTTGCCGAAGGCCTCTTGTTGCAATGATTTTCCCTCTCGGGCGGCCGTTTATAATTATAGAGAAGTTTGCAGAGGAAATACAGCCGTGGATCCACTTCCTCCAAGTGTGTCCGAACCCTTTAGCCTCTAAAACGACATCAAGGAATTCCCAATCAACACTATCAAAAGCTTTTTCAATATCCAATTTGATGACAACTCCCTTTTTTTGTCGTCTTTCACATTCCTCAATAAGCTCATTGGCAATCAGCGATGCATCAAGGATTTGTCTCCCAGCCACGAAGGCTGTTTGGGCGTCAGTGATAGTGTATGACAGCACTCGCTTGAGTTTCTCGGAAAGAACCCTTGCTATAATCTTGTATAAACATGAGATGAGGCTTATAGGGCGAAAGTCCCCTACTTGCCTAGTGTCAATCTTCTTGGGAATGAGGCATACATACGTTTCGTTTAGGCTGGCGTTGATAATCCCATTCTTAAAAAAATCTTGGAATACACTCTCAAAATGTCGTCTTTGAGGATGTTCCAAAACTTTTTGTAGAATTCTGCAGTGAAGCCGTCTGGTCCAGGGGATCTGTTAGTTCCTAATTCTTTGATAGCGATCCAAATCTCTTCTTCAGTGAAGGGGGTCTCCAAGCCAGTGCTTTGTTGTTGGTTGATGGGACTCCAATTCAAGGGTTGTGGGAGGACTCTTTGTCCCTCTCTCTTGGAGTATAACCTATCAAAAAAAGAGAGAAATTCTTTTTCGATGTCATTTTCTTCAAAAAGGCTCGTACCATTCATGGAAAGAATTTTAGTGATGGTGTTCTTCCGTCTCTTCGATGCTACAATACGGTGGAAGAATGATGTGGTGTTGTCCCCCTCATGAAGCCACTTAGTTTTGCACCGTTGACGTCAGAGAATCTCTTCTTTAGCTACCACCTCAAGGAGATGTGTTTTAATGGATTTCCGCTGGATGCTTTGTACTGTGTTTAGGAGCCTTTACTCTTCTAAGTCATCCAAAATAGCTAGCTCTGAAGTGAGATGGTGCTTTTGTTGTGCTATGTTACCAAAGGTTGTTTTGCTCCAAATTTTGATCACGGCCTTTAACCCTTTAAGCTTCATAGTGAAACCATGACCTGGCTAGCCTCTAAGGGGAGTGTTCTTCCACCAATATTCAATCAATGGAGGGAAAGAGTGGTGTTGCAGCCAAACATTTTCGAATCTGAAGGGTGTGGGACCCCATTTTATCATGCCGAAAGACAAATGTAGAGGAAAGTGGTCGGATGTGGGGTGGCTCAGCCTTTTGACAGTCGCGTTCTGAAATTTCGACATAAAATCATTAGTAACCAAAAACCAGTCAATCAGAGTGAGGGTAGGAGGGTTCCTGTAGTCTGACCACATGTAAAAGCCATTAGAAAGGGAGAGGTTTTGCAGACTAGCTGAATCGATAAAAGTGTTGAAGTGATGCATATTTCTGGTTGGCCTGCAATAAGATGATTTCTCGTGTGACCACCTGATTGAATTAAAATCACCTCCCAATAGCCAGGAGTCGGATCAAAGGAAGGAGAGATCGGACAGCTCTCTCCAGAAAGCTGGCTTTTCCTTTGTTTTCGTAGGGCCATATACTCCTGTCAACCAGAACTTAGAATCGTCAAACAAAGTGAGAAGGATAATAAGAGTGTAGAGCCCTACTGTGACATCAGAAACATGAAAGGAAGGGTCGTTCCACATGATCAGGATACCCCCTGATGTGGCCGAGGCATCGAGGGAAGTCCATCCAATGTCGCGGGAGCTCCACAACGACTTGATGGTGAGACGATCAACCACGTTCAGCTTTGTTTCCTGTAAGATGACAATGGTGGGGTTGTGTTCAGCTTTGTTTCCTGTAAGATGACAATGGTGGGGTTGTGTTTGTTGATGAGGGACTTAAAAAACCTTTCAATGTTAGAAAAGAATGTTATGTTGATGTCTGAATTGTTGCAAAATAGCAAAGATACAAAAAGACAGATGCTGATTCACAAGAAAGAGGAGCTATTGGTGGCAGGGAAATTTCAGCCAGTCGGTTTTGATTGGAGAAAATGGTAACTCAAATGATATTTAGAGACAGAAAGTGCAATTACTTGAGAATGTGGGATTAAAATTAGAGTTACTAGCATTTGTGAGTGAACATTCCAAATGGTTGGTTTTTCATAGCAAGAAGATATTTTTGGCAATCTCGTAGTGAAAAAGAGAAATCAGAGGCTAAGGTTAGAAATGGTTAAATTTTCAGGTTTGTGTCTAATAGGTCTTTTAATTTGAACTTTGTGTCTAATTGTGTCTAATAGATCCCTGAACTCTCAATTTTGTGTGTAATAGGTATCTGAGCTTTAAAAGTGTTTAATAAACTTTCAATTTTATGTYTAATAGGTCCTTGACATATTCTACATTTTTAAAATGAATGGATCTATTAAAAATTTATTGTCTAATAAGACCTTAAACTTTCAATTTTTTGACGGATAAGTTTGTGAGTTTTTTTGTTATTTTGTAACAAGAAACATCAAACTATTTCATTGATGTTTTGAAATACAAGGAGAAAAAAAAAAGCAAACCTATGCCAAGGGAAACTAGAAAAAGAACCTCCAATTAACCAAAAATGTAGAAAACCTATTACTATGAAAGTATGATGAATTTTTACGGCAAGAAATAGCCAAAAAAAATTACACCATCCGTGAAGCTCTCATATGACTTCCAAATGTCTTTGAAGATACAGTTGTTTATTTCCATCCAAATAGATCAAAGAAAAGCTCTAATTAAATTGAGCCAAAGTTGCTTTTTCGAAGGAATTCGAAGAGAGATCTGAAGGAGTGCCTTAGCCTCGTCAAGTTCAAAGCTCTAATGAAATTGAGCCGAAGTGTCTCATTGACCTATTAAACACAAACATAACGTGTAATTTAACCCTCAGAAATTTAGATGGAGAACCCTGGTATGATATCAATGGGCCAATGGTTGAAGACCAGTGTGGAGTTTGCTGAGCTCAATACTCTTTTGCTGTTCTGTGGAGGTAAAATGTGTGAAAGGTCTCTTGCATCCAGATAGGAGAGGGGAGTGTGCACGAGTATAGGGAGGCAATTTGATTTCCTTGTGCCCCCGCTATCAGAGATATTGGGAGGAGGTTTTAGAAGGGAACTTGGTAAATGGGCTGGAACTTGAAATATGAGTTGAAATATGAATTGAAGTACAATGAAATATTTGTTTCATATCAAAAAAAAAAAAAAAAAGAGTTGAAGTAAGGATGTTGAAGCCAATTGAACATGTAAAGATTATGTATTTAGCTGATAGAGTAAGGATCTTAAGGAATTGCACAGATGAGGAAACTTTAGCATCGATTTAGGGAAACACACAGAAATACATTATTGGTCCCACCATCTCATTGAGTTCAGCAACTTATTCCACAAGATTGTTGTCTTCAAAAAAGTTCAACCTCTTATTCCTGTTCTTTGTCCTGAATTACCAAAAATGGCAAAAAAATATTTTTTTAATGTCCCACTAAAAACTTCTCTCTCCACTTAGAACATAAGCAGTTTTCCTTCCGTTGCAGCAGAATGTCAGTTGAGTGTTCAAGTCTTTCTTAATTCTTTATACGATTTAATTTCTCTATTAATTCTTGTTGACAAAGTTAGCTGCTAGGAGGATTTTGGTTCACAAACACCAAAATTCTTTGGTTAATATATCCTGAAAAGGAAAAAGTTATTTAAATTTCTTGTAGCTTCCTACCCTAAAAAGGGAATAATTTCAGCATTTTTCTAAGATGGTGTATGTGCTACGATTCCTGTCAGTCATTATCTTCATTACTTGTGTAATTTTTCTTTTCCTGTGTCTCCACCACAGACCATGTCACTGTGAATTTTGCGAGAAGTGGTGGCCCTGGAGGTCAGAATGTCAACAAAGGTCAGTTGATTTTCTTGGCTGCTGATTGGTTTTATTTCCACTTTAGAGTTGCTGTTTTCTTTATAAGTTATTATTTCCCTAAATGATAGTGCAGTGAACACAAAGGTTGACATGCGCTTTAATGTTAAAGATGCATATTGGCTGAGCGACAGAATCAGGGAAAGGATTATGCAAATGGTTTGTTACTCCAAAGTTCTATTGCATAATGGGGAAGTTTTACAAATATTTCTTTTCAGTCTCTAAGTTTCAAAATCTTACCATTTAAACTCTAATTTCTTTCAAATGGTTTGAATCGGTTTCTGTCAGTATATTAATGGGAAGCTGACTTGACAATCTATTAATTTTATGCTATGTGGCAATAATTAATTAAGTTTATAATATTTTTGAGTTTGATGTGGAAAAATATTAGAACCAGATCGTTTATAATATTTCTGCCGTCTCCCCCCCTCCCCTCCTCTCTCCTCTTCCCTCTTTCACTCCATCTCTCCCTCTCCTCTCGTTTATTCGAGTCAGCTTTTTTGTTACAGTAGCTTTCTGAAAAACTGGACAGGGCTATTTTTGAACTATTCAGAAATCGTAGGATTATTGTTAGTTTTTTAGATTTAGGGACCAAAGGCAAGTATTTGTGAAACCTACTTAAAGCTGTAAAAGCTAATATAGTTTCAGACTGAAAAATCGTTGAATCAATAGGTACGACTATGGAACAAAGGTGAAGGTTGATTGCATGTTTTTTTATGTACAAGTATTCATAATGCGTTCCCCTGTATGCTGCTAGCTAGAGCAGAAATAAAACAGGAGGTGGCTCGAGTGTTCATAAATCTGTCATCATGATATTGCTTCCTGTCTCTGTCTCTCCCTTGACATGAATATTTCTTCCTGCTTCTGAACAGGAGAAAAATAGGATCAACAAGGATGGGGAGCTTGTAATTTCATCCACTAAAACTAGAACACAGAAGTTAACTTCAGTCCTCTTTATTTTTCTTATTTTCCCCCATGTTCTACCAAAAAATTTTGTTTTGATTTTTCTTATTTTCCTCAGGGGCAACATTGAAGATGCCTTAGAGAAACTTCAGGTGCTTCGCCTTCCTATAAAATGCCTCTCCTTGTCCATCTAATAGAGAATATACCGAACATTCGTTTTCAATCAAAGAATTTGTTTGTATGAAACAGGCAATAATCGATGCTGCTTCTTATGTCCCACCACCTCCCTCTGAAGAGCAAAAGAAGAAAATTGCTAAGATGTGAGATCTTTCAACTTCCTTGGTTACTTAGTTTCAAAAAGTTTATGCACTTAATTAATACTCATATAATCTTTTGGTGTGGGGAGCTCCTGTGACTTATGAACTGTGGGGTAACATTTTTTGTATTTGTAAAGGGCTGCTATTGGGGAGCAGAAACGCCTTAAAAGCAAGAAGATCCTCTCAGATAAGAAAGCCTTCCGAAGGAGTCGAGACAGTTGGGATTAACAATATTGCTACTGTAGAGTTCATCAGCATTACAACTTCGCACTACTTACAAAAGTTCTCTTCTCACAAAGCAGTTACTAACGTGTTCTTATTTTGGTTTTTGATTGGCTTCACAGCTCACCCTTTTACTCGGAAAACAATACAGGATTTTCAAAAAGTAACACCATGGATTCTGTGTGCAATGAGGGAAAACCCATTGGAAGCAGAGGAACTGAGCGATTTGCTTCGCTCACAGGTGATTTCTGGAAATTGCTAGAAATAGATATAATCATATAGATAATCAATTTTATTTTCATTTGATTGGTGCATAATATGTTTGAAGCACTGGCTTAGAATCCAAGGTATCTTACAGAACTGTCAGAACATGCCTGCTGCAGACGTTTGGTCAATGTATGTTAACTAATATTAATTCAGGCTTTTTTTCCCTCTTTGTTGGATGTCATATACATACTCGAGTTGGTCTGTTGCCAAAACCTTGAATAGGAAAAGTAACTAATATTACCAAGAAGTTTAGCTATGCTATCTGTATGAGTCTGTGGCTCTTTGTTTCTAATTGGAAGAACATTGTTGAAGATGGATGGCTGGAATTTCTCTGTTGGAGATGGTTTGACTGTCTAATTTTGAAAAAATTTAGTGGCTTTGGAAGGATCTGCCCTCGAAGAGAAGGATAGATCTTTCCCCTCTCTTACTTTCGCGTAATTCAAACCGTGTTTATAAAATACTTAAGATTTTGTAATTTTCTCCAGTTTGTCCCTAAATTTTTTATGTTGTAGAACAGTGTCCTCGAGTTCTAAAAAACTGCTCTGTTTCTAGAAGATAAAGCTTGAAGCTAACTAGTAAATGAATCATTATACAGTTGGGGGATATGGTAAATTTGCCTCCATTTTAGGATGGTTTGGAAGTTAGAAAGGGATGTGTTGTGATTCAAATGTATTATTTTTTTGGTCAGGTGGTAATACCACTTTTGAAATCTCAATGTAATGTAAATTTACACCCAATTCTGTTCTTTCTTTTTTCCCTTTCTCATCATAATTTGTACTAAGTTGATAAAGTTGAGTAGAAAAAGAAGATGGTCTTATGCCAATGGAACAAACATTCAACATGAAAGGAGAAATGTTTCRATGTGATTGTTACATGCAATCTCCATTAGATTATACTCTTTTGACATTACAATTGAGCTAGATGTTACACATCATTTTTATATTTATAAACGTCCAAATTAGATTAGGACAATTGTCTAACCTTAGGACATTTCATTATCAATAAATTCTATCCTAGGTAGATGACTACTCTAGAGTTGAATTCATTYGATTACATTCAATACTTTACCATTTCTCACTTGTTATATTATGGTCACARTTCACCTGCACTAATCTCTAAGGAGACTTTCCCACCAWAATAAGAATTTCGAGATAAGACAATTTAAATTATTAAAGTCTGTTTGATAACCATTTCATCTTTAGTCTTTTGTGAAAATTATGTTACCTTTTTTCCTTTTCTTAAAAATACATTTCAATTATCAACCAAATTTAAAAAAAGAAAAAAAAAACCTTAAAAATTACTTCCTTTAGTTTACAAAATTTAGCTTACATCTTTTGACATTATATATGTGGGCACTTGATACTTATGAAGGTTAGGTGCGAGAGTGCCCTAGCTTATTAGTCAAGCTTTTAATTTGAAGCCACCTGAAAAACATATGCATGCCAAACTCAATCCTACAAGATCTCGCCACTTCGAGTAGCCRACTAGTCACAAAGATATGAAGAATGAACAACCCATAACAAATTTATGCTCACAACCAAAAAATCCAAAAACAAAATGACAGAACCTATGTTTTCCAACTTAGAAACTTGAAGATATCTCCCAACATCCTTCTACATKGAAGCTCGCTCTCCCACAAGTACTAAGAGGAGCTCAAAGAGGAGAGATGTAACTAAAAAAAGTTGGACCTTGAAAGGAAGGCTTCATCTGAAAGAGCCAGTTTCCAACAAAAGGTAATCGGGAAATAAATTAGAGTACACTTGATTTTTCATGCGAGTATATAGATTTCTAAATGCTTATTGCATTAAATTCTTAATGCACGTTTCAACCGTGACAGTATATACAGCAAAAAAATGACAAGCAACAAGTACTTGCAGTCATTCTATGGCTACTCGAGATCAAAGCACTTAGGAATACTTGTAAGATTTGAGGGCTAGAAGAATCCTGCACATTGAGAAATATCCATAGGAATGACTGTGGAGCTTGGCTGTGGGCATCAAGAATAAACTCCATAGGGCAGAAGTGCTGCAGCCACAATTCTTCCTTCCTCATTTAGAATATTATATGTTGATGCCGCATTTCTCTGCAGATAACAAAAGTTTATTAGTATAACGAGCACTAACTCCACGTTTGTGTTTTTGGCATGTATCTTCAGTTTATTAAAAACACAGGACTCTGCTAAGTGGTAACACGATGTTCTACAACCCATTGTTCTTCTTTTGTACAACAAGCTAAAGTGACCTCTATGCTTCGTCCCCGGTGCATAGGGCCGATCCCCATGTGCTAGAGGGAAGACCGGAAAGTTTGTGTTAAGCATCTAGTAGGTTTTTGTCTTGTCTAGGCATTTGGTGTCCTTTCTGCCGGCCAACTTARCGACAGAGCCACCCTCTTTGGGGTCAGTGAGGAGGACAATCCCCACTCCTTCATTATTGAAACAAGAGTTACAAAAAGAGAGTGCACATTTGGGCCAATCCCCACTCCTTCATTATTGAAACAAGAGTTACNTTGAAACAAGAGTTACAAAAAGAGAGTGCACATTTGGGCCAATCCCCACTCCTTCATTATTGAAACAAGAGTTACAAAAAGAGAGTGCACATTTGCCTCCRAGGGTCAGCCTACTTGGGCTTGGAGTCTCTTGATCACACTAATTTAGAGGTCTCTTTGAATCTTCTCGTGAGTCTAATACCAAAAYCCCTTGATGTCTCCTAGATCCAGACCTTGGGACAGGGCAAGCCCGGACTGGGGTGTCCCTAGGTATATAAGGGAGTGAAGCTCCGACTACCAATTCTCCTGCCCATTTTGCCATAAGAGCTCATGTTTCGTTACTTGAATTACCCTCATTTTTTCAGATACATATGGATTAGTTTCCRACAGAAAAATCATATGGCAAGCATTGCTTGACATGGCTCTGTCTCTCGAGAAATTTCTCTATGAATCTCTGCAAATCTAGAAGTAATTCAAGCATGCTCCTTCTACTTCTGCTAATGCTAATGAAGGATCCCCTGCCAGAAAGAGAGTGCACATAACCACATTATCTACAGTGACACAACCAACCAATTCACCATCATGTCAAAACCAATGGAACTTAGAAAAAAAGGAGTCCATTTGAAATTTCTCCAAACAATTACAACGCATGAGAACCTAAAAGAGACTAGCCAACTGGTATTTTTAGTTTTTGTTTTTCCTTTTTGGGAGAACCAGCAAACTTAATTTTGGGCTCTAAAGATTATTCTTGAACTTAACACAATTCCCAAACAGCACTYGAGCTAGAATTACAAAATGACCCTGCAATTGAAAAAATGACTATTTGTGCTGATATCCCCTGCAAGTTGATACTCTAAGAATCTTTTGAACCCAATCTGATCAACTGATTATAAGGGAAAGAGCAAATTACTGGTGACACATTCACTTTGCTTATCACTAACCAGACAATACAGTGACCTTTTTACAATCTCTTTTGACTAGGCCACTCGGGTGGGTGGACGTCTTCCTATCTTTTTTTTAGTTAGTGGCATGAAATATTGTTTCGTATCCAAAAGAAAATTTTTATTGTTCTCTTGCCAATCAGTGATAAAAATTCCCCAATAGCTTGATTTTCAGTTACATGAAAATGTAATTATCTTACTTCTCAGATAAAATAGATAAAGACAGATCCAACTATAAATCAAACCAACATAATTTCAAGCTATAAGTACCGTGTCTACAGCTTCCAACTTCATGCCAGTGGAACGAATGAATTGCCTTAATTCAGGATTTACTGGTTCAGTATATTTCCCACAGCCAAGTAGTAGAATTTCTGAAATTAGAGAAAGAAGATAAAGAAGAAAAGTCATCGGCTGGCAGTAGAAAGCAATAACTTTTTGCTTGCGGAGAGAATGAACAGTAGATGTCACTCAGATGATAACGTCAGAGTTCGAAATAAATAGAACATTTGGAAATCTAAAGTACCTTTTCAGAAAAAGTAACGACATTTGTTCAATAGCTGAGAAGTGCAGATCTTCTTTTTTGTTTTAGACAATAAACAATGAATCTTCATTCTAATAGAAATTTAAAAAGACAAAAATCAAGAACTATATGTAACCACAGCTCTGAGAAAATAAAATCACTGCTAAAAATGCTAACCAATCATAAGTTCACAGGATGGTTATTAGATAAAATACGAGACAATGAGAGAAACATCTGTTATTATAACCTTTTTGTCTCCAAACAAACTTTTCGAACCTCTTAATTAATTAATTGAAGAGAGGAGCAGATCTTCTAGTACCAGATATTCAAGAAGTTTGATGTCTCCCCATCCTTATTGAGTTATTCCCTCCCCCCACCCTCTCTCTATAACAAATTTACAATTTCTGGATTAGTTCCTCCCATCTCCCCTCCAGCAGAATGCAAGCTCCTTCCAACTAACTCTTAAATCTTAAAAGCATAACACTATAACGATAATATTGGCCAACTGACCCAAGTGAGCTAACTGCGTTAACTAGCTGATGCAGTCATCTCCTGTGGTCTTCTAGCGTAACCAAAACATATGGAGGATAGATTTTCCCATTAGATTCAGAAATGGAAAGAGAAAAAAGAAAGAGGAGAGAAAGAAACCCTAATCTTGTTGATTAAGAACTGAAGAGTTAAACCACGGGCAGGTCGTGGCGTAGTGGTTTGCCTCCCCGGTTCGACTGGGGCTTCCCCCAATTCAGGGACGAGTCACACAACGTCGGTTACTGTGATCTAAGTGTCAAAGCCCCCTTTTAAGTAATGACTCTCATTACCCCTCCACTGATATTTACTTTTAAAAAAAAACTCTAAGTCCCTCAGTTTTTTTTTTAAAAACCAGCAGCCTCCATGGTTCCCGTGACTTCGCTGACGACGGCTGCATCAAAACCGACGAAGGAGATCATTCGCCGAAGAAAGAAGCTCAGTGGAAGAGGAATGGGGGAGAAGATAGAGCGAGAGAGCGAGGGTGAGGGTGGGCGAGATAGAATTAATGAGATTGTTTTTTTGATAGTATCTAAAAATTAATTTTGAATTAATGTTTATCCAATCAAATTAATTTTGAGAAAAATGGAATCTCAATATTAATTCAAATGGTTTCTCGAAATCTCTCATCAATCTCCTTAAATCTCTCAATGTAGTTTTAATTATAATTGAATTTCAAATCCCCCAATTTTGCTTTCCCATCTTTGATTCCTAATTTAAATTTTAATCAAATGTATCCATTTAAAATCTAATTAAAAAAGAGATTTTTGGGAGACAAATTTGAATTAAATTTCAAATGGAATACTTTCTTTTTGTAATTAGATTTTAAATTGATATTTTCATTTGATTAAATTTTCAATTAGGAATGAAAGAGATGAAAGCAAAATGAGGGGTTTTTAATTCAATCCTAATTAAAACTACGTTGAGAGATTTAATGAGATTGAGAATAGATTTCGGGAAACAAATTTGAATTCATATCGAGATAGTAATTTTAGATTCCCTCAATTCACGCTCTCTCTCGCTCAACCTCGCTCTCTCTCTATTTATCTCCTCCCCACTGATCTTCTTTCATTGCTAAAAAGTCACGAGAATCATGAAGGAAAAAAATTGGAGAATAATAGTAATAGAAAAAATAGGGAAGGAGGGAAGATAGAAAAGAGAAACTCCAAGAAAATTTTAGAGAGAATGAGAAAAAAAAAATTTGCTGAAAAGAGGAAAAGAGAATAATGAAAAACGATAAGAAAACAGAGAGGAGGAAAAAAAATCTAGAGAGGAAATAAGAAGGGAAGTTTAAAATATGAGTAGAGGAGGGAGGAGAGAGATGGAGTCTGTTAGAAAAAAAAAAACATGAGGACATAAGAGGTTATTTGACAAAGTTGGTGACGTCAGAACTAACTAGAAAACTTTGTTTTGGAAAGCGCCTAAGACTGAAGGTTTATTTTGTCAATTTTACCACCAAATTATAATTACTTCAATATTGTCCAATGATTCAAGTCCTTTTTCAAACCCAATTCGAGATTTCACCTGGAATAGGCCGCACAATCTGGAAGATAGACAAACTGCAAAAAAAAAAAAAAAAAACATTTCAATCACCAGATGAGAAAAAAAAAACATAAAGAAGGCCACGATTCAAAGCAAACCTCTCCGCCGTAATCTCCGAAAATTTCCTGGGACTCCACGACATTAATAAGCTCCCAACGCAGAGCAAGCTCCCTTCATAATCCACTCCATTTACCGTAAAACCCGTCTCAGTATACCTAAAATACCCACACAAAGGAGACGGCGAGATCGAATCAAGCGAAGAAATCGATTGCAAGCATCGGAGAAGTCGAAAACGAGAAGCGAGGGTTTTACCGTTGAAAGCGAAGCTGATCTTCGGAGATTGATCTGATCGTAAAGTGAAAACGCGCGTCTCAACGACGGCAGAGGCTGGCTGAGTCCTGGCCTCCGGCGATCCTTTCTGAGGCTTCTGATGAGATTCGGCAGCGTCGCCACCTCTTTTTGTCTCGCCGTCGCCGCCATTTTTCGCAGTCCCTTCCCTTTCCCCTTCCCGGAGTCTAGCTTGGTCCGTTTAGTCCCAAGTCCTCGTTTTTCCTTTTCTGTTTGGAACACAAACTTTTGTCTAATTGCATTTGTGACCCATCCACCTCGGTAAAATTTCTTTTGTTTTTTACGGTAAATATGTGAGGTTAGGAATTTGTATTCACGCTGTTTTGGTCGGAAATAAGTACTTGAACTATATCCAGATAGTAAAATTCATTCGTTTTAAAAATAAGGCTAAATTACAAAATAATAATAAAAAACTTTGTTCTTGGTTTAAAAAATGTATCTACCATTTCAAAAGTTTCAATTTTATCTTTGACATTTGATGAATGTCTCAAAAATACTCTTTTGAGCAAATCTAAGTTAATATTTTGAACGAAAATTTCACATCGTAATGTTGAATGCTTTTTCAATATCTACTTCGATCCAATCATAAACTATTTTTTTTTCTTTATCTATTGAATGCCTAATTTTAAATAAGAGTCCTAAATAAGAAAGTAATAATTGTGATGGTAATTGTCGAGAGATTCTTCCTACTTTTAAACTTATTATTCTATCTTAAAGTTTAGAGACTTTAATTTTAACATATATATTATGTTCATTTAAAGTTTTCTTCCACCTTACAAGTTGGGAAAAACATTTTATAGAAGAATAACCACAAATAACTTGGCCATAAATGTAAAAAGATTAATTAAATAAATATTGTGGAGTATGTGGTACTTATTATCATCATATTTATGAAATGACTTATTATTGATGCATTGATAATTTCTATTCATATAATTTTTTAGCAAAATTAGAGTTAATTAACTTTTAAGTGATTTTGTTAAGAATCCTTGAGAGTTGGATCTAAGAACCTAGAACTTAATCCCAAAAACCCAAAAAACAAGTATGGAATCAATCAAAGGAAAAGTTTAAGAATGGATTACCTTGATGATCAATATCAAAAGTAGAGAAAACTCGTTTCTAAACTCGTGATTTGAATCACTCCACAAGAAGTACGATCAACACCGCTTGAATGATCCTAACATGCAAATTATAAAGACACAAGAAATCGCACAAGAAATGGGAGATAAAGCTCTCAACCAAGCTAACGAGAAAAACTCACTTTTCATTAAACTTCAAATTGTGTTTACAACAAGACATCTTAAGGCTATATATAGTCATCCTAGCAAGCCATATGAAAAGTCTTAAAGCAACTGAAAACATTTGTAACTTACAAGAAATGAAAAAGCTTGCAAATGAAAAGACATAACTTCAATAAATGGAAAGACAAGCAAATGAAAAGGTTAAGAACATGGAGAGTTTAACAAAATAAATTGCAATCTCGTCCATAATGAAGGATGTGAGTGTTTGACTTGGTTTTTGAATTGAATGAGTTGACTTTGACTTGTTTTGATGGAGCTAATTTTGACCTTGACCAAGTTGACTTTGACCTTGACCAAGTTGACTTTAACTTGCCTTAAAAACACTTAAAAATACATAACTTGCACCAAATTGAAGTGCATAGTTCCAACTTCTTGCACATCTTCCTTTATTTCTCTTGTCGAGTTCAAGAACGCTTGGACACGAAATAGCAAAGCTTGTTGAAGTTTTCTAACTCTCGATCTTGTAATCGGTTCATGAGGCATAACAAAGTAAGCTACTTGGTTCATATCATCCTCCCCATCTTCAAAAGGATTTGTCCTAGAATCGGAGTCATCACCTACATCAAAAGGATACAAGTCAGAAACATTAAAGGTAGCACTCACCCCATACTTACCTGGCAAATCAATCTTATAAGCATTATCATTGATCCGTTCAAGGACTTGAAAAGGCCCATCGTCTTGTGGTGGCAACTTAGACCTTCGTTGAGTTGGAAACCGTTCCTTTCGAAAATGTACCCAAACCCAATCCCCTGGATGGAAAACAATGAGCTTGCGTCCTTTATTGATGCGGGAAGCAACTTTAGTGTTTTGCTTCTCAATCCTTTCCTTAACTTCTTTATGTAGCTTATGGACAAGATCAACCTTTGTGCTAGCATCATAACTCACAAATTCATTAGGAGGCATATGCAACAAATCAAATGGAGCGATAGGATTGAAACCATATACAATTTCAAACGGTGTGCATTTGGTAGTACTATGGACAACCCTATTATTTGCAAATTCAATTAATGACAAACAATCCTCCCAAGTTTTAAGATTTTTATCTATGATTGCTCGAAGCACAGTAACCATTATCCTATTTACTACCTCAGTTTGTCCATTGGTTTGGGGATGACAAGTAGTAGAATAAACAAGTTTGGTTCTCAACTTCCCCATTACACATGTCAAAAATGACTTAAAAATTTTACATCTCGATCACTAACAATAGTTCTAGGAATTCCATGCAAACGAACAACTTCCCTAAAGAACAAATTAGCAATCAATTTAGCATCATCAGTTTTATGGCATGGTATGAAATGTGTCATCTTGCTAAACCTATCAACGACTACAAATATACTATGCCTACCCTTTCGAGTTCGTGGTAAACCAAGGACAAAATCCATAGAAATATCAACCCAAGGAGTAGTAGGAACAAACAAAGGTGAATATAAACCACGTGGTTGTAACCTAGATTTAACTTGTTTACATGCAATACAATGCTTACACACTTTATGCACATCATGCTTCATCTTAGGCCAATAAAAATGTTTAGCATGTATCATAAGTTTTAGAAATACTAAAATGAGCCATTAAACCACCCCCATGAGCGTCATTTACAAGCAATTCACGAAGTGAACAAGATGGAATGCAAAGTTTTCCTTTCGAAACAAAAATCCTTCAAACAACATGTAATCTTCCACAAGTCCTTTTTCACACGATTCAACAAAAGGAGCAAAGAACACATCATCTGGATACAAGGACTTAAGCTGTTCAAATCCTAAAATCTTAGCATTCAAAGTATTAAAGAGAGCATACCTTCGTGATAAAGCATCTGCAACAATGTTCTCCTTACCTTGTTTATACTTAATCACATATGGAAATGTCTCTATAAACTCTAACCACTTGGCATGTCTGCGATTCAGTTTGTTTTGCTCTCTTAAGTGCTTTAGGCTCTCATGATCTGTATGAATGACGAATTCCTTTGGCCCAAGATAATGCTGCCAAGTTTGCAAAGCTCGTATCAAAACATAAAGTTCTTTGTCATAAGTTGGATACCACAAAGAAGCACCACTCAACTTTTCACTAAAGAACATTAGTGACTTATGGTTTTGCATTAGTACAGCCCCAATTCCAATCTCACTTGCATCACATTCAATTTCAAAAGTCAAATTAAAGTTCGGTAAAGCAAGTAGAGGAGCATTGCACAACTTATCCTTCAAAACATTAAAAGCATGCTTTTGGGATGTACCCCAAACAAAAGGAACATTTTTCTTTACCAATTCATTTAGAGGTGAAGCCAGGGTGCTAAAGTCCTTAATAAAATGCCTATAAAAACTAGTTAGCCCATGAAAACTTCGAACCTCCCCAACAGTCTTAGGAGTTGGCCATTCACTAATAGCCTTAACTTTTTCACTATCCACCTCAATTCCTCGACTATACACTATGAAACCAAGAAAATTAACCATTTCCATGCAAAAATTACATTTCTTTAGGTTAACATACAATTTCTCAGTTCTAAGTGTAGTCAAAACAGTACGCACATGCATTACATGATCTTCTAAAAAGACTTAGAATACACAAGTATATCATCAAAATAAACAACCACAAATTTTCCCAAATATTCACGCAATACATGGTTCATCAACCTCATGAAAGTATTAGGAGCATTAGTTAAACCAAAAGGCATAATAAGCCACTCGTACAATCTATATTTAGTCTTAAATGCAGTTTTCCATTCATCTCCAACATTCATAGGAATTTGATGATACCCAGATTTCAAATCAATCTCAGTAAAGAAACTACAGCCATACAATTCATCTAACATATCATCTAACTTAGGAATAGGATGACGATATTTAACAGTGATCTTATTAATGGCCCTACAGTCTACACACATTCTCCAAGTTCCATCTTTTTAGGCACTAAAATAACAGGCACACTACAAGGACTAAGGCTTTCGCGTACATACCCATGACCTAAAAACAAGTATGGAATTAACCCAAGAAAAAGTTTAAGAACGGATTACCTTGATGATCAATATCAAGAGTAGAGAAAACTCGTTTCTAAACTCGTGATTCGAATCACTCCACAAGAGGTATGATCAACATCGCTTGAATGATCCTAACATGCAAATTCTAAAGACACAAGAAATCGTACAAGAAATGGGAGATAAAGCTCTCAACCAAGCTAATGAGAAAACTCACTTTTCATCAAACTTCAAATTGTGTTTACAACAAAACATCGCAAGGCTATATATAGCCATCCTAGCAAGTCATATGAAAAGTCTTAAGCAACTAAAAAGATTTGTAACTTACAAGAAATGAAAAGACATAACTTACAAGAAAATGAAAATGCTTGCAAATGAAAAGACATAACTTCAATAATTGGAAAGACAAGCAAATGAAAAGGTTAAGAACATGGAGAATTTAACAAAATAAATTGCAATCCCGTCCATAATGAAAGATGTGAGTGTTTGATTTGGTTTTTGAATTGAATGGGTTGACTTTGACTTGGTTTGATGGAGCTGACTTTGACCTTAACCAAGTTGACTTTGACTTTGACCAAGTTGACTTTGACTTACCTTAAAAACACTTAAAAATACATACACCAAATTGAAGTGCATAGTTCCAACTTCTTGCACATCTTCCTTTATTTCTCTTGTCGAGTTCAAGAACGCTTGGACACGAAGTAGCAAAGCTTATTGAAGTTTCCCAGCTTTCGATCTTGTAATTGGTCCATGAGGCATAATAAAGGAGGCTCCTTGGTTCATATCAGATTTGATGGTTGATTGAGTTGGAAAGATTTTATTATTTTTTTTTTCAAAAGTTATAACAAGAGTGGATCTTAATGTCTTTTTAATTTCACTTGACAGTGTACACATTTGAGCGAATTGTTCTTCTTAAGATGATTCAATGTATATAATATTGATTTTATTAATTTAATTTCAAATATTTTAGATATACTATTTAATATATATGTAAATTGAATCACTTCTACTCAACTCGTTAAAATATCTTATGCCCTAAAATTTTAACGGTAGATTGTCAAGTAACATTTCCATTTCTTACGTGTTTCCATTTTTTAAAACATATTTATGTGTTTACAAGCGATCATTCTCCTTATTTATCTCTTCATATTTTAAAGAAACGTCCAAAAGTTTTAAACATGTCGTTTTTCTCACTTTTCTTTTTCCCTTTTTTAGTTTCTTCAAAAACATAAATATGAACACTTTATTATCATAAACTAATATTAAAAATATTTTTTAAAAAATGGAGAGAAGGATAAGTAAGACATTTTTATGGGACACTGTTTTTTTTCGTTTAAAAAAAGTAATAATCCAAAAGTATCTAGAATTTTCAATAATTTATTAAAAAAATGATTGGGGAGAATAACACACAAAATGCATTAACTCTATTTCAAATATGTCATTATTATACATATCATAAAAATAAACTTATAGTTGGGTGGACACATAATCCCTAGCTCCATTATAATTAAATTAGAAGTTCATATTCTAGAGAAAATGAATTAAAAAAAAAAGTTCCTATCACATTTAAGTTATTTTTTTAATAGTTTAGGATTTAGGGTTTAGGAAACAAACAGAAACTGAAGCTGTTGCCACGACCGTGACACGAGCTAGACGGTGGGCGACGATGAAAAATTTGAGTGAGAGAGAAAAAATGGAGAAAAAAGAGACTTGAGAGAAAATTTGAGTGAAATGACCTTCAAAATAAAAGATGAGAAAACTCAAACCTACAACGAAGGGCTGGGATTGAACGAGAATAATGGAAGGCTGGGATTGAAGGTAAAATATTAGTATATATTTATAATTTAGAAAAATATATATACATAAAAGTATCATTCGGATCGGGTCGGGCTGACCCGAGACCCGACCCCCGACTCGGTCTCGGTGGAAACCAAAATTGTCTGAGGACTTTCATTAAACGCTCAACCTTCAACAATGAACAATCTGAAATTATTCTTGGTTGAGTTGCAGAGTCTCCAGATTATACGTGGCGGGAAGTTCAGAGCTCCTCCAAACACGCGTCATTTTCCTTCTCTTCAATCTTCACTGCCTTCACCGCTTCCTTCTTTCTCTCTTCTCTTTCAGTTTCCTCCATTCTCACCCACAAAATGCAGCGTTCAAGACCCACTTTCCATTTCGGCAAATTCCTCGCCAATGGGTACACAATCCGCCGTGGGTTCTGCTCGGAGAAGCTATCGGACGAGCAATCTCACTTCAAGAACGCCGGTGGRGCAATGGCCGCCCATCTCAAGTCTCGCTCCGTCGTCCGATTTCGGGGGCCCGACACCGCCAAGTTCCTCAACGGGCTACTGACCAACGACGTGCGCCGGTTTGGGGAATCGCCGAGTGAGAAAACGTCGTCGTTGCCCACCTCCAATTTGGCGCCGCTGTCGGTTCCGCCTATGTATGCTGCGATGTTGACGCCGCAGGGGAGGTTTCTGTACGATTTGTTCTTGTATAGGCCGCCGAGGCCTGAAGAGAAGCTTGATCGGACTGGTTCTGGGCCGGGTCCGGCGTCTGATGAACCGTTGGAGTTGCTGGCGGATGTGGATTCTTCTGTGTTGGATGAGCTCTTGCAGACGCTGAAGAAGTGAGCTCTCTGTCAGTTCCGCTGCTTAAACTATTCTTTGTTCTTTTTATTGGAATTGTTCGTTTCTTTTCTGTGTTGTTAATCGGAAAATTGCAAACTGTCTGTTGAGCTTGATCATGTTAGATACAAATTTCTATGTCTAGTGCCTCTGAGTGTAGTTGGATGAATTGATTTATAGTGCCTCAGGTTTGGAAATGGCTTTGAGTGTTGAAAATTCAAACCATACCTTAGTTTACATCCTATTTTGTTTCCTAAACTCCCCTGAACTTTTCATAGATGCGGAACCGAACTCGACAGTTATCCAATATAACCTTGACATTTGCATAGTGTTAATTTTTTACCATGGTGACTCACATATTACCTCACTAAAGGAGGTTAATCTTTGTTCTAACCGATTAACCACCCCTTCCAAATGCTCTGTAACTGGTTTTTGGGAGTTACCTACTATTTTTAGCAGCAAGCTCTCTAAAGAATTGGTGATTGTAATTTTTGATTTTGGTCTTGGGAATAAAATACTCTCTCTGATCTTGTACAGTGGATGTAGACCTCTCTTGGTCGAACCACTTAAAATTTGTGTGTTCTTCTCTGATTCTCTGATATATGATTTGTATTGAATTTCTGAGATTCTGTTTTCTTCCSAAATTTGGTTCAACAAATTGGTATCAGAGCTTCCGTGAGGGGGATTCTTGATTAAAGTTCGTTCAAAATCTTGAAGCTTTCTTCGATAATCTTCTGCATCTTTTTGGTTCGAATTCTTCTGCCAAGATCATGTCTGCACGTTTTGAACTAGATAAATTTGATGGAAAAGGGGATTTCTGTTTGTGGAGAAAGAAGATGAAAGCATTGTTAGTATAGCTGAAAGTGGCTATAGCCCTAGAGGATCCAAATAAGTTGTCTGAAACTATTGCTGAAAAAGATTTGAAAGAGAAGTCTGAAATTGCTTACAGTACAGTAATATTGTATTTGGCTGATAATGTACTTAGAAGAGTTATAGACATTGAAACAGTTTCAGAACTTTGGAAGAAATTAGAGTCTCTCTATATGTCTAAATCTCTTACAAACAAGATATATTTGAAAGAAAGACTCTTTAGTTATAAAATGGATACCTCAAAAGGACTAGAAGAAAATTTAGATGAATTCAACACAATTTGTGTCGATCTTGCAAATTCTGGTGAGAAAATTTCAGTTGAGAACCAAGCTGTAATCCTCCTTAATTCGTTACCTGACAAGTATAAGGACATTAAATCTGCAATTAAGTATGGGAGGGACTCTCTAACCTTGGACCTAGTTCTTGATTCTTTAAGGTCRAGGGAATTAGAAATGAGATCAGAGAAGAGGGAAAATGAAGCTTTGTTTGTTAAGCAGAAACATAACAAAAATCGTTTTAATCGTTCTTCCGGACAGAATACTAAACCACCAAACAAGTATCTTACAAAGGAAAAAGATAAAATCACTTGCAACTACTGTCATAAGGAGGGACAYGAAATTTGATTGTCCTGTTCTGAAAAGAAAGGGAAGATTGCCAGTTAGAAAAGAGAACAAGGTGGCTGCAAACGTGCAAGAAAATTATGAGTTTGCTGAAGTGTTAATGATTTCTGATATGGACCCCAATGAAGAATGGATCTTAGATTCTGGGTGTACGTTTCATATGACACCACATAAGCACTATTTCATTGAATTGAATGAATTTGATGGGGGAAAAGTAGTCATGGGAGATAACCATCAGTGTGACATAAAWGGTATAGGCTCAGTTAAATTGGAAGTTGCTGACGGAATTGTTAAAATCCTATCACAGGTGAGATTTGTTCCAGGTCTTAAACGAAATTTGATTTCCTTGGGAACCTTAGACAAAGCTGGTATGCATTATACATTATACATCACAAAATGGAAGGTTGATAGTTTATAAAGGATCTGATGCAAAACTTACTGGAGTATTACAAAATGGGCTATATAAACTTCAGGGAAATGCACTTGTGGGAGAAACCAATTCCATTTTGAACCAACAAAATAAGGAAACTCATATTTGGCATAGCAGATTGGCACATATCAGTGAAGCTGGTCTAAAACAACTATGGAAGCAGGGACTTCTTGGAAGATTAAGCTCGACTGAGCTAGCATTTTGCGATCATTGTGTGTTAGGTAAATCAGCTAGACAAAGTTTTCAATCAGCTGCATACAAAACGACACAGAAGCTTGAATATATTCACTCAGATTTATGGGGTCCGGCTAAAGTTTCCACTCATGGAGGTGCAAGGTATTTCTTAACTCTCATAGATGATTTTTCTAGAAAACTTTGGGTCTACATCATGAAAACTAAGGATGAAGTCTATGAAAAGTTTGTTGAATGGAAACTCCTGGTTGAAAATCAAACTGGATTGAAAATTAAAATTCTTAGAACTGACAATGGACTAGAATATCTGAGTGAAAAGTTCAATAATTTATGTAAAGCCTCTGGCATCTCTCGTCATTTAACAGTACCTCGAACCCCACAACAAAATGGTCTTGCAGAGAGATTTAATAGGACCATACTTGATAAAGTTAGATGCATGCTCTCACATGCTAAACTACCTAAAGTATTTTGGGGGAGGCTGTGAATACTGCTGCTTACTTGATTAATCGAAGTCCGTCTACTGCTTTAGGGTTTAAAACTCCTCAAGAAGTATGGACTGATAAACCTCCCAAACTTGAGGGTATTTGGTTGTGCAGCCTTTGCACATATTAATCAAGGGAAGCTTGAACCTAGAGCAAGAAGATGCATTTTTCTGGGATATGCTCAAGGGGTAAAGGGCTATAAACTTTGGAGTCTTGAAACAGGGGGAAATAAATGTTTTGTGAGCGAGATGTTACCTTTAATGAAGGAAAAATGCCTTGGTCTGAAACTTATGAGCCAAAAACAATAAACTCACCAGAAACCTTTGAAATTGAACTACAAAGGACTTGTGATACTTGTGAAACAACCTTAGAAGTGCCTATTATGGATACTCCAGCAGATGATTCTGAATTAGTAGCTAGCACCAGTCACTCTGAAGTACAAGAATTAGTTGAAGAGGGTGCTCAACCCACTACTGTCACTCCAATATCTGATGAACAAAATCTGCAAAACTATCAACTTGCGAGGGACAGAACTAGAAGAGTAATAAAACCATCTTGTAGATTTGAAGAAGCTGATTATTGTTGGCTATGCTTTGAACTGTCTAGAAGAAAACTTCAGTACTGAGCCAAATTCTTATAAAGAAGCTCTAAATTCCACTGAATCACAACAGTGGATTCAAGCAATGGAACAAGAGATGAACTCTCTATTGAAAAATAACACTTGGGAGCTTGTTCAAAGACCTTTGAATCAGAAGTTAATTGACTGCAAGTGGATTTTCAAGCTAAAACCAGGAATCAAAGGTTTTGAGCAACCAAGGTTCAAAGCAAGGCTTGTAGCAAAGGGGTTTACTCAAGAAGAAGGAGTGTATTTTCTCCAGTAGTGAGACATACATCCATAAGAGTTCTATTGTCGTTAGTTGCTCATTTTGATCTAGAACTTGAGCAGATGGACGTAACAATAGCTTTTTTGTATGGATCTTTAGAGGAAAACATATACATGCGCCAACCTACTGGATTCATCAAATCCGGAGAAGAAAACTTGGTTTGTCATCTAAAAAGGTCTCTCTATGGACTTAAGCAGTCTCCAAGACAATGGAACAAACGCTTTGATGCCTTCATAACTTCTAAAGGCTTTGTGAAAAACTCATTTGACTGCTGTGTATATAAGAAAACAATTAGAAAAGATGTCTATATTGTACTGCTATTGTATGTGGATGACATTTTGATAGGCTCTCAAGACAAGCATCAGATTGAAAAACTAAAAGGAGAGTTGGGAAATGAATTTGAAATGAAGGATTTGGGTAATGCCAAAAAGATTTTGGGGATGGAATTGTATAGAGATCGCCAGAGACATTTCTTAGAGATTACTTAAACAAAATTGTGAAGAAATTTCACATGGAAAATGCAAAGTCAGTGAAGACACCCTTAGCCCAACATTTTAGACTATCTTCCTCTCAATCTCCTTTAACAGATGAACAACTAGATGAGATGAAATCTGTACCGTATGCAAGTTTAGTAGGAAGTCTAATGTATGGTATGATTTGCAGTAGACCAGACTTAGCTCATTCCATGAGTGTCATAAGCAGATTTATGAGCAATCCTGGAAAGACACATTGGGAAGCATCTAAATGGGTTCTCAGATATGTYAAGGGAACTCAAAATAAAGGTTTGATTTACACTAAATGTGATGAGTTCTCAGAAAACATTGTGGGATATGTCGATTCTGATTATGCAGCCAATTTGGACCGAAGAAGGTCACTGACAGGTTATGTTTTCACATTATTTGGGAATCTGATTAGTTGGAGATCTAGTTTACAATCTGGTGTAGCATTATCATCAACTGAGGCAGAATATATTGCTCTTTCAGAATCTGTCAAAGAGGGAATTTGGCTAAAAGGCCTAATTTCTGAGATGTATGTTGGTGGCAGTGAAGTAAAAATCTTTTGTGACAGCCAAAGTGCCCTTGCACGGTCAAAAAAACCAAACTTTCCCTGACAGAACTAAACATATATATGTGAAGTTCCATTTTATCAGAGATGCTGTCAATGAAAATAAATTGAGTTTGTCCAAGATAAACACTGCTCATAATCCAGCTGATATGTTAACAAAATCGCTTCCAAGTGACAGATTAGAATACTTGTGCAATCTTCTGAAACTTGGCATCGGTTAATTCATACAAAAATTAGCGATCAGAGATTGGCATCTTTTAAAGCTCCCAAGGAATATGTTTCTTCAAGAGGGTGATTTGTTAATTTTTTACTATGGTGACTCACATATTACCTCACTAAAGGAGGTTAATCTTTGTTCTAACCGATTAACCACCCCTTCCAAATGCTCTGTAACTGGTTTTTGGGAGTTACCTACTATTTTTAGCAGCAAGCTCTCTAAAGAATTGGTGATTGTAATTTTTGATTTTGGTCTTRGGAATAAAATACTCTCTCTGATCTTGTACAGTGGATGTAGACCTCTCTTGGTCGAACCACTTAAAATTTGTGTGTTCTTCTCTGATTCTCTGATATATTGTATTGAATTTCTGAGATTCTGTTTTCTTCCCAAATTTGGTTCAACACATAGATACACTAGAACAAGTGTTTGAAATCATATATTGTTAGATGTTGAGTTTCCAAATAAATTTAGGCTCTTGTCAAATGATTGTCAGGACTAAAATAGTTTTCTTTTTATCCATAGTTTAAGGACTAAAATGAAACATTTGAAATATTAGGAACCAAAATGGGATACGACTTATCACCCTTGAAGCCCATTTTTGCATTATTGTTCTACAGATACCGTTTAAGGTCTAAGGTTGATATTGAGAATGTSGCAGAGGACTTTTCTTGCTGGCAACGTTTTGGTAAAAATCTCTCCAGAAAAGCTTCATCTGCAGAGGAACCTGAAGCTGCCAGTGTTGGGTGGGGTGCTGGTGTTGATCCTGCTGCAATGTCGTCTTCACGTGGGGAAGATACCGGCTGGCAATGGTTTCAAGATCCAAGATTGGAATGTCTTGGTTTCAGAGGGATTTTTCCATCTAATGAAACCCGTAAGTTTCCCTCACGGTCTCAGTGGTCTTATGAGTTTTTAGTACCACAAGTTAAAGTGATTGTGCATTGATCATATGTTTAGTTTCTAGCCAAGATTCTTCTGATAGTGTATCCTGGCTATGCTTGTAAAGCTCCTCTTATCGAGGCGGATAAAGAAACAGATGAAGATAATTACATACTGTGGAGACTGGAGAAGGGAGTTGCAGAAGGTTCAACTGAGATTTCGAAAGGTTTGAATTAGCTTTTTATTACTTCCTGATGGTGAATGAGACACTTTATTTCTCTCAAGCTCTAAATTTATTAGTTTATCATCTGTTTTGTATCCCTCCCCCACATCCTGCTCTTTCTAATGTTTTTCTGCAGTCATTGTGTTCGTTGATGTAATCATCCGATTTCTTTGTTTGTTGTATACAGTGATTTATGTTTTGGCCTGAGGTTTAATTAGTTTTCTGCTGCTAAATTGCATTGAGTGGCTCGTGAATATGGAATACTTATGATATTTAAATATTTTAGTCTGGACCATTTTTTACTCTTTCACAGGTGAGGCAATTCCTCTTGAATACAACATGGTGGGTCTAAATGCAATAAGTTTTGACAAAGGGTGCTATGTTGGCCAAGAGCTTGTTGCTCGCACACACCACCGAGGAGTTATCCGAAAACGTGTGGTTCCTCTGAAGTTTCTTAATGACAGAAGAGAAGGTAGTCAATCTCATTACTAATTGATTTCAGCAATTTTAGCAAAAAGCTCACTTCCAAGTGAGTTCCACAACTTTGTTTATTGAAACTCTTTTCGCCACTTGAATCTCTTTCAGATGTAGAGCAGAAAGTATCTCCCGGATCCAAAGTGATCAACTCTGCATCAAACAAGAAAGCAGGTAATGTGATTGCGGCACTCGGGTGCCGTGGACTGGGCCTCCTGCGATTGGATGAAGCTTTCAAAGGATCACAGGGTTTGGCTATAGAAGGTCTGGAAGGCATTACAGTTGAAGCCGTTAGRCTGGACTGGTGGCCGGCGGAATGGTTACAGGAGCAATAACACAATACTGCTATCCCATAGAGGGAACCTGCTTCTCAGTCTGATCAATCCTGCATCATCTTTCAGGCATGGTTTAATTTGTTGTTAGCTACCTTACTAATAATTCAGATGTTATCAATAAAGTTTTAAAATCGAATTACGTGCTTTTGGTATTGTGGTTATTTATTACATGAATCTTAAAAAACTTTCAATTATGTAGGTAGATTTTGTTTTATGCTTATTACTAGTCTGTCAGTAACATTGGTCAATAGTATATAAACCCGACACTCATTTCTTGGAATTTAAATGTGATTCAAGCTTTTCTTGGCACGGTGAGGTGCGAGAGAGCCAGGGGGCCCATGAGGCATGAGATTCATATATGAACAAAGAAGTAACAACAAGAATTAACAAAAAATTAACAAGAATTGAATGAAATTATTTTGTATAATTAAGCSATTAAATTGTCTGTTCCTGAAAAATGAAATTCAGGAACTGAAAGTTCAGTCCAATTTTCATCAATATTTAATGGGAAAACAAAGAGCAGTTCTCTAAACAGCAGGCTCATAGGCAACTGATGTTATTATACATCTGAAAAGTAGAGTCAGATTTTCCAAATTTACATGCTCTTCTTCCTTGTTAATGTGAATCTCAGTTTGTAGGAGACTCAACTTTCAGTTCCTGCATTCCTTCAAGCTTCCAACAATGGAGGGCTCAGGTCAATGCTCCACATTATCTCCCAAATCCATAGCTACCAGTAGCAAACATCGGTGTTATTTTCGGGCAAGCATCGGCAACGCAGAAGGTGCTCCTATAGCTGAAAGGCAACTACGTTTTGGCCAGCTCCTGTATCAAGTCTTCAATGGTTGGCCTGTTGATGGGGAGCTCATTGGTACATGATAGTGCAAGATTTGCTAGCTTTCTAGCTTGGGACTCGGAGAAACTTCCCTTTAGGTTTTTGTCGATAAAATCCTCGAATTGGCATACTTTGGCCTCCAACAGTAGGGAGTTCGTAAGTTTTCGCGTCCCCGAGAGAATTTGAAGTATGATGATTCCAAATGCGTATATGTCAGTCTTCTCAGTGAAACGACCGATCGTAATGTATTCTGGTGCTAGATATCCCATGGCTGCGCTGGTTTTGAGAGCTGAGTAGACAATGTCATCGGCAAGAAGCCCGGAGAGGCCCGAGTCCGAGATCAATGCATTGAACTGATGATCTATGAGGATTTTCTCGACGGATATGTTTTTGTGAACCATGGTAGGTTTATTTTCTTCTTTGCGATGTAAATATGCAATKCCTGTTTGAAAAACAAAAAACAATCTTAGAATGAATAACAAGAGAATCATTCGAGTATCAGTTGAGAGATCGATTAGTATCTTAGCATCRATATCAATGGCTTTAAGTAGAGAAGCAAACCTCTTGCAATGCCATTGATGATGGAAACTCTCTTAGACCAGTCAAGAACATGAATACTACCATCTTCAACATCAAGATAACGAGACAAGTTCCCCCTCGGAACAAAGTCGTATATGAGAAAGAACTCCCCTCGGCCCCTCGAACAACAGAAGCCTCTCAAACTAACGAGGTTTTCGTGTCGTAGAGAACTCGACAAGTTCAATCCTCGAAGAAACTCGGCTTCTTCCGACTTGCAACTGGTCATACTAATACTCCTAATGGCTACAGAAGAACCATCCTTCAGAACTCCTTTATAAACCATTGAAAAACTGCTCCTACCAAGCAAATTGGCCTCAGAGAAGTACTGAGTTGCAGATTCAACCTCTTCAATGTTGAAATTGAACTTGCTTAGATTCTGAGAGAATCCCAAACCTTTGATTCCATCAGCCAGAGAATCCCATSCACGAGAATACTCGAGACACACAAGTGGGGAAGCACTCTTCGAGTAGAATTCCCGAGCCTGATCCGTGCTGAGCCGATCATCGCACGAGACAGACGAGTTCCCAATCTTCTGCTTGCGGCGACGGTACCAAAACAGAGTCAGAATCACAGCCACCATCAAAACCACAGACACAATAAGCACAGCAGAAACAACTGCAATTTTTGGAACTCTTCTGGACTTTGAACAATGAAGTTGATTGCAATTGCCATTATAAAAGTCAGCAGATTCAGGGATAGTCCTTTGAGCAGCAGTAGTGTTTGTTTCTGATGGAATAAGCTGAAACCCATCACCTGTAATGGTTTCACTGTCAAAAACTGTACAATTCCTCAATTTGGCAAACCCAGCTCCACATAAACCTGGATTGTTCTCCCCTTGAAACCCTTCATTTAGTCTCCTCATACCTTCAAGAGAACAGTCCCACTCGTTAACAACCGTTAGATGCAGATTCGAAAGTAATAAATTTCCCGAGTCTCCAGAGAGAACTTACCAGGAGGGACAGAGCCAGAGAGGGAGTTGTTCTTGACATCTACAACTTCCAACTGAGGGATTGTGGAGATTTTGAAGGGAATTCTGCCACTGAAATTGTTGAAGCTCAAATACAGCCTTCTGAGGATTTGTAAGCTTCCTAAGGATGTGGGGATTTCACCACTTAATCTGTTGTGTTGTAAAGCAAGAACTGTGAGCTTCTCTAAAGATCCTATTTGAGATGGTATAGTTCCACTCAATTGATTGCAACAAATCTGTAACACTGCAGAAACAGAACACGAAACCCATTAATCTGAGCAGCAAAGTTTTGAACTTTATTCAGAGCACTGAAACAAACCTTGAAGACTGGACATATTTCCGATCTCGACCGGAATCTCGCCGGAGAGATTGTTGACGTCGAGATAAAGATCAGCAAGTTCAGTGAGAGTTGAAATTTCTCTGGGAATCTCGCCGGACAAATTGTTGTAGTGCAGGTACAGTCCCGACAGACACTTGAGCTCCGCGACCGCCGGCGACACCTTGCCGGAGAGGCCCCGGCCTTGCAGCGAGATGTTGGCCACTTTCCGGTGCTCGTTGCAGGCCACGCCGTCGAACGCGCCGCCGCAGGGGTCGCCGGTGACTGTCCACGATCTCAGTACTCTGTTTTCCGGGTCCAGAGATGCCTTCAGCTCCATCAGCGCTTTCACTTCTGAATTTCCGGAGACAAGTGGAGCCGATGAAAACGGGAGAACGAAGAACAACAGAGAAATGGCGAAATTAATAAAACCACCCATTATTCTTCTTTGATTTCTCTTCAAAACTCTGAATCCTCTGTTTTCATCGTTTTGTGAAGAACCCCATTTCGATTTCAGAGCTTTTTTTTTCTCTCCCTCTTAAAATCTATCTCCAGAGAGTGAAGTTTTCGGAGTTTCCACTTTGAGTTTGTTGTTGCTTGTCAAATGGGTGTCATTTTTCTGAACCCAGAGAATGAATTGGAGGAAGAAGAAGAAGAAGAAGAAGAAGGCATTCAAAAGAAGGGGGGCAATTTGGTAATTTAAGGATTTGGTTTTTAGTCGTGGGAGTTGCTGATGGATTCACATTTGGATTCGGGTTTAGCTTTGAAGGAGAGGGAAAAGCTAAGGTTACAGCTGGGCGGGATGGCTGTGATGGCTGTGATTTTTTTAGTACGTTTCTTATCGTTGATTCGAAACTGAGATGGTGACGTGGCGGAAATCGAGTGCTTTAACTCCAAAGCTCTGCTGTTTTGGTGACAAAGTGATGGGAACTATTTCATGTCGTGAATTCAAGGCTAGGCATTTATGATGTAATAAATATTAAATAATATTGAATTCAAATAGCTATTTCTTTCCAGACCTTTATTTTATTATTATTATTATTTTAAAATGAAGTTTAATTTAACTAGGATTTTTTACTTCCATTCATCTTGTTAATTGTTCTTTTAAAATATTTATTTYCTGTGTCTATGTTTTTTATTTTTGTTCATTTCAGTTATTGTACTTTCAAAATGTTTATTTTAATCGGTATACTTTTAAAAAGTGTTCATTTTTGTCTTTATTTACAAAATTTAATACCAAATTTATATACAATAGAAATCTTTTAATACAAGTTTATGGGTACATTTTAAAAATACAGTGAGTGAGCGAAATGTATGAGATGACAAAATAAATTGTCTTTTAAACACCAAAAGAATCACCTAGAAAGTACAATGACTAAAAAGAATAAAAATTGAAAGTTTAGACATTAAAACAGACATTTTAAAAATACATATAATACATAGGAACTAAAAAAGTATTTAAAACAATAAATTTATACTCTTGTCATTCATCTTTGAACTTTCAAATTCTTTTTTTCTCTCTTTTTCTTTTTTATTTTTTATATTTTGAAAATTTAGAGAGAAAAAGTGAAATAAATCACTTTTTTTTTTAGATTTTAAAAATTTAGAGACGAAAAATAAAATAAATCTTAAGAATAAGAAACATTGAAAAAAAAATTGCCTTCAAAGTTGATACTAACTTAATTATTCTATAAATAACTTTACATTTAGATGGAGAAATGGATTTGAATGTCATTTCTCCAAATTATCATAATTTAGTGTATAAGTATTAAGTAGTCTATTTGTCCAAAATAGTATCGATTTATAAAATCATTTTAGAAAATTAAAAGTAAGAGTATTAAATATCCAACTGCTTCATTGTGCACAGCTCATTATTTATGCCATACAAAGTTCAACTATTGCCCAACTTTTTAGAATTCCAATATCCTTTCCACAAAAAAAAAAAAATAATAATAATAATAATAAATAAACAAATATTATATTACCACGTTTGAAATTTCGTAGGATATTTTAAATTTTACATGTTTTTCTTTTAGTTCATATATTTTTTAATGTTTCTATTTGTCTCTATCTTTTCTATAAAAATTATTTTAACTTTTACTGTTTAATCTTTTAATTAATTATTCAACAAAATTCAAATCTAATCTATTACACCAAACATTTATCCATATAGATATTTATTAATTAGGTTAATGCAAAAAAACAAAAAATATACCCATTTCAAGCCTATGTAATTAATTTATTTATAAAAACTCAACAAGAAGACTATTTAATATAAAATTTAAAACTTAGACAGATTTTTTTAAGCAAATTAGAATGAGATTTAAGCCTAATAAAAACAAATTATCTAACAAAAAGTATATACGAGTTTTTTTAATTACAAAATATATGAGCTTTTTATATGCCGTTACGTGTGTTGGAAAGGAACGTCATACAACGTAAGCTTTTTAAGTTTCAACATAAATGCCAAAACGGACATAGTTGAGCGGTAATTGGCATGGTTAAGACACATATCTACTCTGTGGTCTAGTAATATAAGATAAGTATTTTTTTTTTATTTTGCATAATTCTTACGTTGTCCACTTGTCTATCTATTTGTCTTCCTAAGAGTGAAGTTTTATCCATTCAAGCATAACTTATTAGATAAAATACATATTAACATCTCAAATTTAGGTTGTTCAATCTTTATCCTTGTAATCATTGAATTAAAAAAAATCTAAAATAGTTCAAAGTGGTTAAATATTAGAGGTGTAAGTTCCAAATCTTTCTTTCTATATATATATTAAATTTTTGGAAAAAAAATTATGAAAAGACCAAAAATAATTGTGCAAACAATGATAAAATATTTACAATGACAGCATGGAGTCTTCTAGGGCTGCTGATTTATTTTTTATTTATTTATTATTATTATTATTATTATTATTTTTTGGGATATGGTCTTGAGGTCAAAAAGTTGGGAACCTAACATTAATTGTTAGTATATAGTGTGTTATGGGACATCCACATGGTGTTGACATTTCCATCTCCTATTTACAAAACCAATGACCTTTGTTTGGATTCCATTGCTCTCAATTGTTGAATTGCAACGTATATTTATTGGTTTAAGTCAGACTTTTAAGACGGTTTCAGTAACGTTACTACTTCATGTTTCTCGTTTCTTATTTTTTTTCTAATTAAGAAAAATAGAATTGTGTCGGGTAACTATTATTTAATCGTTCTTTCTTTTTAATGAAACATGTTTGGTAATATTTTTTTGTTTCTGGGTCTCTGAAATTTTAAATTAAAAAGGTGACATTATTTTTTTCGAATTAAAGATTAGAATTTTTTTTATGTGGTATTTGTTTTTATGATATTGATTATGTATTTTGTAAGCGAGAAATGATAAGATGATGCTTTTATCTACGTTTTGGAAAAATTGGAAATCGAAAATAGGAACAAAAAAAACAAGAAATAAGAAACAAGGAACTTGATTTTGTTGTTTTCAAAATTTATTTTAGAAACGTTTATTAGATAGAGAAATGAGAAGCAAAAACAGTTACCAAAAGCTTATATTTCTCAGCAATTAAAATAAGAAATAAGAAAAAGGAATGTTACGAAACAGATCCTAAAAGTCTTAAAATTTTCCAATATTATATTTTAATTCTTTAAATTATATTAGTTAATTAACAAGAACCCAGCTCAACTAGTGGAACCACTATTTAAAAGGTCACATAAACTTTCGGACAGTGTCTACAGTTATATAATATACACATTCAAAAAAATTAATATTAATAATATCCAAATAAAAATATTTTGAAAAAAGGACTATCCATCTTTTAGTATAGTAATGATAATGCTAATATATGTTTTTTTTTTCTAAATTCAAAATATTGAAAATTTCAAATTGGTGTGTTTAAAAACAAAGATACTCCTTTTCATTTGAATACTTTATTTTTTGAATTTGAAATATTGAAATGATTAAAAATGGGTTAATAGGACAAAAGTATGAACATTGGATTCTGTTTGTTTATATAAGTGGAAGTTAAAAGAAAAAAGCACAAAGCTTATCAAAAGTTACTTTACAACCAAACTCAACTCTATGGCGCCAATATCATCTTTTTTTTAAAACCACTTTCAAATCTCAGGTCGGATTAGGGTTGAAGCTAGAAATTAAATAATAATAGTAATAATAATAAATACGAATATTAAAATGTTAAACATTTTAACTATCGAGATAAATTAAGAGGACAAATTGTCCCTTCCTCAGATCATTATATTAAACATCGTAGCATGTCAATTTAAGAGTTGTTGTCGTTAGAGAATAAAAAAACAGCCAACTTATGATTATCTTGATCACAAAAACAGACAACAGGGCTTTGGTTTCAATTAAAGCATAATTCAAATTCTAACTTATGATGCAAAAGAATAGATAAATCAATCTGAAACTTTTAAGCAACAAGAACCATAAATAAATATTAGAAAGAAGAAAATTAAACGCTGAATTTATACTGGCTCACCCATGTGGGTTATTACAGTTGGAGCTCATACAAAGTTAAATCTCAGCTCAAAGAGTCATACAAATAAAAAAAAAAATTAGATGCTTTCCATCAAGTAAAAGCAGATATCGTCCCCTCCCCCAATGCTCTCGGACCAAGAAGAAATGTCAATTTGAGTTTGGAGTGCCCATAAAAGAAGGACAAGGGAAAAAAAAGTCATAATTAAAGGCTAGTTGCACCTACTTGGGTCATTGCCCTCGTGCTCAATTTAGTCAAACGCTTTTATCAAAACTAATAGTTAGTCGAGCGTTCAAAGCATCTATCATCACAATACCAAACACTAAACACTGATCTTGTGTTGCATAGAAATATCTACGTGTTCGATTGTTAAGAATCTCATTAACATTGATATGGCAGAGTATTCCTCTCCCTCGCATTCTCAAGCTTTGATATAATATTTAGAATATTAAAAGTATTTTTAACCAATCAAAAATACTTTTTTGAACATTTTCACATTGGTTTTTTTAAATATTACAACCAATTTTGCAATGAAAGTAAAATAAAGAAAAGGGTAAAGGATAAGGATTGGTTATAATGTAAGGTGGCAACCCAACTAGAACTTAAAAGGATGGCCACCAATGCAAATATGCTTTGGACATTAAATTTTATAAAAGCACTTTTATTTTAATCATTTGTTTATTTTGTAGTGGTCCACTTTTTACTTTCCCTTCTTTGAACTGTTCACGGCGCTAAAAAAAAATTATGTGCCCATCATTTTCAATTTCTTCTTTATTTTGAAATCGATGTTGTACTAGGAGCAATTATTGCCTTTAGAAGTATAATAATTTGGAAGAACATCCAACAATGGTAATTTGTATTTGGCTAATTTGATGATGAACTAAATTTCTACCCTTCAATTATCTGATTGAAGAATTATGAGTGGTAATATTCATGGAGTTTCATCTCTAAATTAATTGACAATTAGAGGAGTAGTCAATGTCTATTATAAACTCTTGTTAGGTCTCCTATCTTTTAATGTCCTCTCAAGATCGTGGTTCTTTTGACTCATCAATCTTGGTTAGATCCCATTTACGGATCGAATGCTCATTTGAATGTTTTGAACTCTGAAACCATATCAATATTCATGAAGTTTCAACATCGGATCTTTAACCATGAGATTAGAGATACTCATATTGAAAAAGTATGAGATAAGATATAACTTTTGAAAGAGTATGAGATAAGATACAACTTTTAAAAATAGAGTCGTGGGTTGAGATCATGTGTATGGCATATGGTTTAGGTTGATCAAATCACATTACCCAAGTCAAAGAAGCAAATCTCTTATAAGAAAATGTCACTATTCAAAGGTTGAACTTATAAGGTGATTAATTGGAGATAGAGACATGTGCTACCATGCCCAAATCGAAAAATTCTGAGTGGAACATTTAACGATAAAAATATGCTCACGATAGATCATGTCCTTCTAGTCACA